TGCCACCTCTGTATGGCTGAAAATAGCACTCTCAGATTTGAATACAGTATTCTTTTGTATTTTTTTTTTTTTAGTTTTTGTTCACGTTTTTGCTTTTTTTTTGTTTAGCGCTTAGAGGCGTCCAGCATTTTGCACTATATCAAATTGAACTTTATTATTATTATTATTTTTCTCCAATTTGTATTGAATTTTGAAAAATTTAAGGGGATTGGTGGTGGCGAGCCAGGGCCGACTGGGTCTCCCTTAAATCCACCACTGGTCGCTGTCATGGTCAGCATTATATTCCGACTCATTCTCCTCCTATCGTCATTATCATAATTTAACAAACATTATTTTTCTTTGTATAACAATTAAGCATGTACGAAGGAGATGATGCAAGTGACTTTAGAACACATACCTTGGGAGCTCCTGCTGTCGACGTACTGAAAATGATTTATTTATATCTAATACTACTTTCACTGTTGCCAACTGCCACCTACGCCATTTAACATCATCAACATCATCTTGTGCTTCACAGGTCACTGCAATCCACAGCAACATCACATCTCAACATACACAACATGAATATCAGATAACTTTATTTGCTTTCATCAATATAAAACAACAGCTCTATGGCACCAATGCTATGCTAACACAGATGCAGAAAATGTTGCTATTATGTTCGTAACTCCAGTATTCTATATCACCAGATACCATTCTACAATACATCAATCATAAACTCATATTCGTCGCATGCCAGACTTACTCCGGATTATAAAATTAATAACTGTGAGATGAGAATGCTGCAACAAAACTGGGTATAATTAAATGCCAGATAATATCTCCATCAACATTAAACTGTGAAATGAAGGCCTACTACTATACTTCCCTCATTTCAATAACGTATAAATTATGATGACAATATATTCCTATATTAGTAACATATTGTGAAAGGCCAATCATTATCAGTATTATACTGAAGGTCTAATATAATTATAGCTTGATGGCACTTTTATGGCACTATTTTCACTCTGCTGCAAAACATTACTTCACATTTTCACAACTTAACGTGATTGCCAAGTTGATCTATCCACAACAATTGGTAATATAAATCATTCATAAGGTATAAACCTACATTTATCATGAAATCACTCAAAATTTGAACAGTTATGAAATTAACATTGGTAACATTAAGTTGTATTAAAAAGGAACAAAATGTTAAGCACATGTTCTGTCAATTTGAGCCCAATTAAATTTCTTCAATTTCTAAAAATCAGTATCCATGATTCATTAAGAAATGGAAATGAATCTTTGATATTTAATTATTTTATTTTATAGTATTTTGACCAAATCGAAAAAAAAAAAAAATCAACAAACTTGTTCTTTCATTCTTACAATGTCCTTTTATTGTAATTATCTGTCGTGCGTTCTAGCAAAAAAGTACTACATATTTTGGTTACGTTAAATAAAAACGTATCTGAAACTGCACTTTCTAAAAAAAAAACTAGTACTCAACATCAATGAAGTTTAAAAAAGCATGACACACCCCTTCCTCCCAACTCTGAATGCTATAGAAGGTCGGATGCTATACTACTTTTTATTTTAGCATCAAAAGAAATTTAATTTAGGACAGGAGTGTGAATGTATGTGAAAAAGTACAACGTTTGGTCTCTCCAATCTTGAGTACAACACGGTTGTCAACTTTTCATCTAATTGCAGCAAAAGCCTTGGCAAGCTCAGCATGACGACAAAAACGAAATTCAAAACGGCTTTCACATCAGTACGCTTCGGCCAAAGGCTCTTATAGACTGTAATTGGGAGCAGCTATGGTGAACGTAATGGTAAAATGATCGTGCTCTGCAGATGCTGACAAGGGCATGGAACGAGAAATGGAGACCAGATCGTCCTCCTAGGGGTCCTAACGCAGTATGCAAATGAAGACACGCAAGACCATGTACAAATACACACAAATAGTTCTAAAATGGCTGAATTACTGGTTTAAAAAATGTCTGTGTGCCGTAAATAAAAACAAAATGAGACCGAAACAATTTCATTTTTTTTACCATTTTAGAAGGACATGCAGGGATGTTGTGAAGTGCCCCGTCATTGAAATTCACTGATGCAGAATAGTGTATGTATAAAATACTGTATTGTATACAACAGGAGGTAGTCCACTTGTTAAAAATCGTACTTGCAATCTTTTACTGAATTGAACTAAACATAAGACTATATTGTATGCACCTTAAACATTTGAAATCTACTTTATCTGCTGAAAAATTATGACCTAGAATGATAAATATTTGTACTCAATTTGTGGACCAGTTAAAACAGGAAACACCCAATCGTGAAACTAATTCCCATAATCTATATCCTCTAGATCAATGAAGCCTGAAAGAGTCCCTTTAAATAAAGGCAAATGAACAAAGGAGAGTCTAGCCAAGCATGCCTATTATTACGTCAATAAGCAACAGAACTTCTGGGTTAGAATCTCAGTCTTTGGAATCAGTGGCCCATTCAAGGCTGAGTACCTACCAACAAAATATACAATAAAATGAGACACTCCCAAAGCAAAGCTCTCAATGTACCACAGTGAAATTGTTACATAAGCACGCAATATGGACGAAGGATCATCATCATGGAAACTAGTTGTTTAAGATGATAGCATCACAAGTATCTTTAGATGGAAATAGATGCAATGGATGAGTTTTCAGTGGTTCCCAAAAATTAAAAATATTTCCAAGCAACAGTTCCAGATAATAATCTAGCTTATTACAAATGCTGATAAACAACATTAGATTGTGTTTGTGCACCATGTATGAAGAAGACTACATATAGTGTTCATTTTTTATGTGGAATGGATAAATATCATCTCCCTGCCAATTACTTATGGGAAAATAATAAATATATACCTCACTGGCAACCATTAATTAATGGGAAGAGAAACATATTCCCACACTGCCAGTCTTTTATTGCAAATGGAAAGAATATTCACCCACATTATAGCTTATCATTAGCTAGAAAGCTATTAATGATACCCATCAGAAGGTAATCCTGAAGGATATTAAGATAGGAAAATAGCTATCTTTAAACAAGTATTCACATGGGCTGATTATCTTACAGTTTATCAATAATATTTAATAATCCTTAGTTGAGGGGAAATTAGTCTAAGGTCGAATAAGAGGCAAGAACTGCTTGGTGAATGTTTAGTGGTTTATATGTCATTAACTACACAAAGATAAAGCAGCATCGTTTAGATTTTTTCAAAGCTGCAAATGTTAGGAGAAATCTTTGAAGCATAATTGTTCTTGAGAAAGGCGCCAAACTGGATTTAGTGCTGAAAGGCAGAAAATCTGCTTCTGGCACATACAGACAGAATTCATGATAATCTGGAAGATATAGTGATCTCGTACAGAAATTATAAACACGGATGAGAGAGAATCATTGACGGCAAACATACACTTATCTTTGAAATTCAAGCAACTACACATTTTAATATTTTTTTAAACACATGAATGGCAAAATTATTTTCATAACTTAATTATAATCATTATCACAATTATGAAAGGTTTTCAACATCACAACTGTGATATTTCAGAAAGATTTTGATAATTATAAGGCTTGCAGTGTGCATCCAGTTTTGCTGCTTTTAGACATTCTTCAAAAAATAGATAAATTTAAATATTATGTCAGTTCCAACTATATGTAACTCACTTTATGACCAAGTGACAAGAATATTTATATAGATAATATTGTTGTCTATCTGTAGTACTAGAATCTGATGATCTGGGTAGAATCTAAACTGATATGTTTGCGTAAGACAGAGCCTACCATCACTATTGATGGAACAATTCCTTTGGGTAAAGCACTTTGACTCAAATAATTTCCTTATTATTGCCAATTAATCAAGTGAAATTACTCTACTTTACATACAACTGCTATTAATTTCAAAACTGTTTCTACATGAAAATATATGTACCAAAACCTGGACGTGTTGAATTATGTGAATAATATTTGTTAAAATATTATAAGGACAAATTAAAAAAAAATTCCTTAAGTTTCTCATCTAGCCTTGAATTTTTGAAGAGGAAGAAGATAATCTTACTTTTAATTATTACTCCTCTCTCCCACCCTCCCAACTCACAAAACAAAGGTGGCATCACACACTCCCATATGCCTTGGAACATATGGATGCACTTTGATAACAGTAATAAGAGAATGTTTACATTTTTGTATGATTTTCTCTGCATTTCGGTTTGTGAAGGAAACAAAAGAGGCAATCTAAATAAAGGGATGAGGGACGTGATGATAAACATTTTTTTTTCTTAATTTGGCAAAACAAATGACTTAATTTCAGCTGGAATAAAGACTCTTTGCGGAGATTGTTATTTCCAATTACTAAAAGAGGGTCCATTACATGTTCCACTGCTTGCAAATTTAAATCCGATACACTTTTTAATTCAACAACCACTGTTCCATGAATAAATTCTAACCTGGTCTTTTCATATGAAATACCATTCAAGCATTTTTTTTATCAACAACAATCATTTATATTCAGACTTTAATGAAGCGAATTGGATAGTTGAAAAGAGGGCGGATAATTTTGTTGGTTTCATTGCAAGAAGCTTTGGATATAATAACTCCATTCTTTTTTAATACACACGCATGTTTGACATACGATATGATATTGAACGACCAATCAGCGAAAAGCCTCATCACGGCTGACAATTTGGGCTGTTGATTTTGTAAAGTGATCCCGGCCTACCATAGTTTGGAGAGCACATATTGGAGGCTACGACAACAGCCATAGCAACTGCTGTCACAGGGATTACGTCAATACAGTAGTGTACATTTTAGTGACATCCAAATATAACACAGGGACTAATTAGAACAAAACCAGTAACACCATTAATAGTAGCGTGTCATTGATCAAGACGATGTTGAACAATACCAACACAATAATTTTCATTCTGAAACAAGTTTTCAATTTCATTTAAAATGTTTGTACTTTAAGCTTTTCTTACCTTGCCGTATTGACAAAAATATTTCTTCATATCTTCTGCTGTCGTTGATGTTGACAAACCCCCAACAAATATTTTCTTCGTCCTTGTTATTGGCTGAAAAAATGAATATAAAGACATTAAAAACCACATGACACTACAAAATTACAATAGCAATTTCATTGGCAATTTATCAAATTATAATTTTTAATTATTGTCTGAATTATGTTCAAAGGCGGTGAACAGTCCTTTGGAGAACTAAATGAAATTATAAGCTAATAGTATTTTACGAGGGACTCCAAGAATCTTAAACAATGGTGATTATGTTAAGGACACAATCATAATTACTACTTTTACTATTATTAAATGACGGTTTAAATAGTGTTGTTTCTCATTTTAATATTATAGGAATGGTTGACTATGGACAATGTGGATTGCTAAATTATATGATTGAGAAAGTTGAAATGGGAATAAGGGTAATACTGGATCAGAGTAGATGTAGGAATTGTTATGTTATCAGTCAGCCTATAAGTCAGATTTGTAAAATGATAATGATTATTAATAATAATAATTATCATTTTCCTATTTTTTAGATGAAACATTATTTTCCTTCCCCTTACTGTCAAGTTGCATTGATTTGCGTAAAAAAAATATGAGAAAATTGATAACAGAAGTCGTATTGATCGGAAATATTCTGTAACTAATCCTTGATAATGGAGATGAAAAATTTTCATATCAAATTCTCATAATAATAGAATAAAGAGGATATCAAAAGTTGTCATTACCAATCATGAATAACTAAATTTTAACTGTCACTATCCTATTGACTATAAAATCACTATCACTGATCAATAAATGTAGTACCATTCTCTTCCCACTACTAACTACAGCCTCTACAACAATAGACCCAAAAGGTCAGCTAACAATGGTGTAATTCATCAAAGCTTATAAAATATTAGAATCTATAGACAAACACACAAGCCAGCAATAACGATCAAATTTGATATGATCGCTGCGCAACACTTAAAACAACCAGACCAAGTGGCATTGGACCAGTAGATCACATTTCATACGCTAATGACTAAACCAAAACCAGCCACATTTTAGAGCACAGGTATCTTTTGTCAAGTTTCATCCAAGCTCTAATGTATCTACAATGGAACTGATGAAGCAGTAAGACAGACGGAAACACCAGAGATTTGAATTCCTTCAGCAGGTTCAACAGGAGTCGGAACAGGTTCTTAGGACTATGAATTTTCTGATGCAAACAAAAGATAAATACTTTCACCTGATTAAAAAATCTCAATCAGGATTCCAACTTCAATTCAGTATCATTTTTTAACTAGAACTTTCTATTTCCTTGTTAGTTCTTCCAAACTCTCATTCCGACGAGCGATCGGAGGAATTTTTTTTGGAGGGGGGGGGGGAGAAATTTAAAAAAAAACTGTTGGACTAAATAGTGTACAGATAACATTTTACGCTGGAGACATTTTATCGAAACAATTTTCATGGTCGGAGGCACAAAATATTTTTTTCAAGACTTGATCTTCAGAAATCTATATCCTAGCTATATCCTTGACTTTACTACAATGTAGTAAAGATATAGTTGACATCTCCCGTACTGAACTTGAAAAAAAATTCAGTTTAATTAGTTTAACTTATTAGCCTTAGAATACAAATGAAACTGAAAATCTATTCCATGCCAAATAACAGATCTAGAAAATTACTGTTCACTATATTCGTCGCATAGACCATTAAATTGGCTAGTAATCAAATAAAGGATTTTTTTTTAACGTAATGTCTGTAAATTAGCGAATACTAAATTTCAAATTGATAACTTAATCTGAACATTTTTAATAAGCTATTAAATGTTTTAAATGAATCTAATAGGGTTTTCCATACTTTACCGAAGACTATATACCTATAATACTAAATAGAAAATAATAATTATTGGTCATAATTGCAGCTACATTCATCACAGATACAAAAGTGCAGGGACAAGATAAGTGAAGATCTTAAATCATGTTATGAATGTGAGTTGATCATAAGACCCAATATATTCTAATTTATATTTATTCCCACACTTTAGCAGGGGAAAAAAAAACTCATTATCTACAAACGTATGATCCATCTGGTTGAGTCTATTGCCGTCTGTCAAATTATCTATGCTAGTAATTGACAAGTTCTATGGTTTGCGTTTATAAATACTAAATGTCTGTCGCCTGTTATATTAAAAACTAACAGGTTCTTGTATTGCATGTAATACAGCATACTACTATTAACTATACATGAAAGTTAACATGCTTTTTAGAGCACAATAAAACGATGGTTGTTTTTGGAATTATACTTTTAAATTCTCTCTAGAAACAAAGTCAGAAATGCTATCAATCTGCTTAAAAGCACACTTAAACTTTCTAAATGTCTAAAATTTATTATTTGACAAGAATTGACATTAAATGCGATAATGTTATGTTAATAGAACAATACCAGATTCTTTAGGCGCCAATATATATTTACCGAAATAAATTAAAAAAGAATATTACAAATTGAAAAATGCAATTGGTTAATAAATTTATATGAGGCAATTATTAGATGTATGAAGTTATTAAATAAGTGTGATACGATTTTTTTTTTTTTAAATCAAGAAATGGTAGAGGCATCAAATTTTACTTATATTGTGATCACATGGCCAACAATGATCCAAGACCGATCTTCACCTTTTGAAGACTAAATTTCAGACCTAGTTGTGAATGAAATGTTAATTTCTCTCAAGAATTTGTGTGATTTTAGTGACATTTAACTTACGACATATTCATATTTACATATATTACGGGCTCAGAAATAAGACGACGCACATCCTACTATCATTAAACATTAAAATCAGCTCACGCTTATAAATATCTCAACAGATACATCTTATCACAAAGATATATAAATATTAGAGAGGATATTTAAGTAAAAATCGCTTCTAGTGAAATACTGCATGAAAATGATCACAATTTTTTTAGTACACAAGTTTATGTTGTGTTTATGATACTGAATTCAATTGAGAATGTAATTCTAAGTTATTGAGAATCCATACAGAGAGTTAACCGAAGTATAGAGTTTCAATGCATTGTAATTCTGATCTGTGAAACCAAGATCATACATGCAAAGTGTATATATTAGCATTTACAGCTTAATGTCTCAGTACTTCACAGTATCCAAAAGCACACGGGAGAATATATTTGACAAGTTTTAATATATCTATATTAGATCCATCAGCACGTCATATGCAGAATACACAAGCTGTATGTAGATGACAAGTAGGCCCTACTCTAACTTGTGCGAACAACGTATTGTTTTTACATTAAAACAGATGCAATGGTCGATAAACAGATGTTGAAGAGAATTGCTGGTAGTTTATTTACTATACAACCACTGAAAATATTACTCATAAATATAAGTATTGAATTATGATCTAGTGGAAAATGTGATGGTTGGAATTTCACTCTTTTAAGAATAAAAGATAATAGAATCTACTTGTCACAGGTTAAACACCAGTACTGATTTCATAAAATTCTAAACCCCACAGCTAAGGTACACTTCTATTGTCTTACAAGAACAAATGTTATAAGAATACTGAGGATTAAACTGCTTAAAACTTAAGAACAAAATAAAAAAATAAAAACTGAGGCTGGTAAAATGTTAATACACGAGGGCTTTTTTTTTAAATAATAGAAAAACCAACAAACCTTATCTGTACCTATTTGTAGATGTGACAAAGTAATACCTCTTTATTTAGTACAGTAATATACTGGCACTGTAAAATAATAATTTTCTATGTTTGAAAAGTGATTAAAAATATGAACAAAATAAGAACATTTTGAGCCTGAAATTGGCAAAAAAAAAAAAAAGAAACACTGAGCCTGGGCAAATACTTTACTGCTTCTTATACGAAGAAAGAGTACGGTACCAGTAATCACACACTAAAAGATATGTGGAAACACAAAAAAAAAACCCAAAAAAATTAACTCAGAGCATTGAATTTCTCATTTAAATAAATCAAATAAATTATGCTTAATAAGACACATTGAAATTTAATTTTTGCACACATTTTACTACAAAAATCCTTCAGTTGATCACCAGCCAATTTTAAGGGTTTATGTTAAATTGTGGAATGTATTTTCTCATTTAAATATTTAATTGAAGACTAATAAAACTTGTACAAATTAATCAATTAAAATACTGTTATTAGCTAAATAGTTCATTTAAAATAGGCAGTGGCTAACACCAGCCTTAAAAAGTTCAAATTTCTGGTGGGTGTTTTTGTACTTATGGATTTGATTAGGCCAATGACATTGAATCAGAATTAGCAAAAAGCTTTTAAAATATTGTTTAACGCTTGGTCTAAAACATAAACATACAAAAAACGGTAGGAATTTCTACACAGAAACTTAAATGTTGAACTGAATCTATCATAGGTAAATCCATCACTGAAAGCAGATGGTAGGTAAACATATCATTCCCTGGAGTTGAAACTCAACCTCATCTTTATGGAGAGGATGCAGCAATAAAAACCGTGATAAACCTTGTACTGGATAAAACTGATGGAAGATCAGATCAGGACCGAATCATTGCACGCAAGTGATAATGCGTGGACAATCGTGCTGACACATAACCTCCAGAGAATTCTACCTAATAGCGTATGTGAACAAGGTATTCGCATTATTTATGTGGAAATTTACATAGATTTTTTTTTTTCAGGTATACTTAATAATACTGGATAGAACGATATGATATTCTATTAAGTATAAATTAAGTCAGGGAGCAATGATGGTTTATAGTCATGATAAAATATCCTAGTACTATTTTACACACATTGGACTTTGGAAATGGAAGGCAAACAAAGTCTAATACACTTGCACATAAATTAAAATTATAAACTCTAATGATATGCGTACTAAAATGGTTATAAGTCTTGTTTGAAATGGTATAGATTTATTCTTTATCTTTTAATAACACAAAATTATTTTAAAACTTTAATCCCATTGAGTATAGGTAGGTAGACCTAGCTACCTTCACTAGGATTACCGTAAGGTTTCACTGGTAAGAAAATAAGCCCATAAATTTCTCAG